CACACGTCTATCGATCGATATATATCGTTATTGAATTATCGCCCAGCCCTATGTCTAAGTAAATCTAAGTAAGTGAATCTGACTGTAGAGCTTTGAATAATCCAGCAGCAGAACTCCCCCTCCCCCGCTATGCTCTTGGACATCAGCTGATGTTGGAGAGAAAAAAACACAGACTCCGATTATTGACCGCTGAGATGTTGATCAGGTTTTTAATCTGTAAAGCAGCATATTTAAGATTTCTTCTAAGAGTTACAGTTATAGATTCAAAGGAGGTGTGTTTAGTATGAGGGAGCAGGCACAGTTTTAGCCCTTTAAAAGATGAGCTAATAACAACAAAGGTCTGCAGTTGATAATGGATGGTTTTGCCTCTCGTTCATATATTATCTCAAATGTGTGTCTTTCCCGATGCCTTCTCCTTTATACGCTGATTACTTTTGTTATTGCTGTTATTTTTCAGGAGAAGAATTTTACGAGACATCTCCCTACGAGCCGATCCATTTCTCTGAAGAATTCAGACATGCCTCCATTATCTCAGGTAATGCTGATGTGAGTTTGCATGTTGCATGTTTTTATTACCCTTTGGTACCAAAACTATGCTACATTATCGGGATTTATACGTACTGGTGGGGATCAACAACTCATTTCCAGGAGGACAAGTCCTCTTCTTTGGATAGCGGTAAGGAAGAGGGCAGGTATGTCAAAAGTCGGTCCTCGAGGGCCGCTGTCCTGCAGGGTTTAGAGACTTCCCTGCTGCAGAACAGCTGATTTCCTTTGATAGCTGATTAACCCAGTTTGGCTGAACAGCAATCATCACAATCAGATGTGCTAAAGCAGGGAAACCTCTTCAAGGTGAAGGACAGGAGCCCTTGAGGATTGACTTTGGGCATGTCTGGGTTAGGGTTAGACAAACCCATACGACAATTGTGTTGCTCATCTGTTGTTCAATCTGATCTCAGGAGACCAGTTTGAGCTTCTCATATTTGTATCATTTTGTGTTAATATCTGGGTTACTTCTAAGGATCCCTTAGGAGAAAGAGATGAGTTGAAAGAAACAAGACATCCCAAACACATAAGGAGGGTTGAGATAAGAAAACCATTTGAGCAGTATTTCAGAAGATTAGGGATATATGCATCTGTTCTCAACAATGTCTTGTCTGTTTTGAATGGGACTGAAAGAGAATACGATGAGGTGAATCTGAGAACTCAATTAGCAAGCAATGGAAGACTGAAACTGTTACAATATGTCTAATTTTTCTCTCAACTGAGATCCGGAAAAGAGAGCGCTGTAAGAGAATTTAGAGAACTGGCACAAAGTTCACTGTTAGAGTTAATTCTCAGGAGAGAAATTTGAGAAGAATGAGAAAATCTCTCTTGTCTTGATCAGTGCTTATTCATATCTAGGAGATGGAAATGTGACATAAAGGAGATCTTATGTTTAATTTTGCTTTGCTATGAAAGGCATCTAAACTGCTTCTCTCAGGATAACAATGGGGTCCGCCACATTATGACAAGACCTTTGGTCACCATAAGGCCTGACGGTCCTCAGGTTTCTATCTAAGGAAAATCAGATGAATGCATCGACTCATTGACTCTTCGGCAATCCCTCACACTAAGCATGCTTGTAGCGACAGTGGAGAGGAAAAACTCCCTTTGAACAGGAAGAAACCTCCAGCAGAACCAGGCTCAGTGTGAGCGGCCATCTGCTGAGGCCCACTGGGGTTCAAGGAGACAGAAGCACAGATTCAAAAGGCAACTGTCCTAATCGCAATTTAGTCATTAGGATATGTGAGTTTTAGTCGATTAAAACTTAAAAAGGTTTTAGTTTGGTTTTAGTCAGTTTTACGTTGTAAAAAAGTTAACCTTTACACTTTTGAATAACAACCACATTCTTTACCAGACTGACAGCTCTAGCCTAGATAATACAATAGCTGGGTATAGAATGCTGCCATGCAGTTTATCATTGCTGTTGGGCAAAAAAAAAATTGATTTATAGAATTCAAATAAACTTTTTTTTTATTAATGAATGCACTACTTAATAAAAACGTGTCTCACAACAGCTGTGAAAATAGCAGATCTAGTTTAGCACATCATATTGGTTAATATAGCAGCCAGACAAGCTAGCAAAATGTACAATAAAGGAATGGTTTTAGACATACAAGTTTTTCATGCAAAAACAAACACTTCCTGTTGTACTATGAATCATGCATTACACACGGATCAATAAAGTATTCATTACTCCAAAAAAGCAAAGAACAAAACTTTGGCAATTTTGGCTTTATTTCTAAGAGTTTACCCCCTGGTTACTGCTGCTCAGGGGTCAAAGTAGGTTTTTGTATAAACAAAAAACACAGAGAGAACCTACATAATTGCCTTTTAACGCCATGACTTAGACTTTGTCATTTTGTTCACACAGGATGTATACACAACAAAATTTCACTCAATGCAGCCCATGCTATTCCAGACCTAAACTGAATGATATGCTAACTAATATGTTGAAATATTCAAAGGAAACATTAACATCATATTTAAATAGGTAGAAACGAGAACAATGAAAGACAAATATTCTAAGATCTATGTACCTTTTCATCTGGATCTTTATCCAAAAATAAACAGAATGCAATGAAATATTTTTTGGATATAATTTAGGGATTCCTTTTGGCAGAAATTAAAGAATTTTTAGTATCTCCTCTTGTGAGCTGGAATAAATAAAATCTTGATAGTTAGACAAAGGGATTTTTACACTTGGCAGAGGATGATCAGCCACATAGTTTATTGAGTAGTGAGAGCAGGGGGAGCCACACTCTGAGCTATGCGTGCATAACAACGCATTTCTGCACAAGCACAGATGGAAGAGAGGAGTTTTTCAGAGTTGAGAGTGCAGTACCGGGTTCTGGGCTATTTTCTCCCCTGCTGCTGCTGCCATGATCTATCTGTGTTCATGCAGAATGTGCAGCACTGCTAACCAGGTGGGCTGCATGACCAAACAAGACGCAGCAGCACGGCTGATACTGCTTAGGTTGTCTACTTAATTACAGCACAATGACGCATTTTAAATGCTTGATCCACGACCTGCACATTTTTATTTAGTCTTGTCTCATTTCAATGAAAAAAGCTCAAACCTATGACTAGTGATGTTTTAGTCATCAAAGATCCATGTTTAGCTCGTCAGTTTTTGTTATCTTCATGATAATAAGGAGCCTGAACAAAATAATTTTGTCATTGTCAATGAAAACATCACTGCTCAGAAGGTTAGTAAATATACCAAAAACAGTCCTAAATACCTGACTTATAGAAGTACACACACCCAAACACAGTGGCAGTGGCTAAAGCGGATGCACTGAAGTGGCACTCCCCTGCTGACTTGTAACTGACATGAAACAACCTGTCAGTCCATAGAGGAGGCTTGTCAGCAGCCGACCAACTGGTGGTCAGAATTTGTCAAGAAATAAAAAGCTCAGTACCTGCTTTAAAATTTATGACTTCACTACCTGAAAATGATCTGCTAATGTGAAATCTTTTTTGGGGGGAGGAGAACTCTATTAGAGTAATCCTGAACATTATTAAAACGTGTTCAGAGAGGACAGGGTTGGGAGGAAATACTGTTATTTCTTCACATTCTGTCAATACAAGGTCCAAAGTATGAAGATGAGAATGTGTGGGACTATTCACATTTTGAACAAAGCCAATGAGATAGCATTAAAGGGTGCACTTAAGCTAGTACTTTCAATGTATGCAGAGATGTCAACCCCCCACTATGATGACCCTGTCAGTATTCAACACCAAATCAGAGAGGAACTATTAAAACTCGTCTAAAAATTTCGATTAAGGTCCTGGTGGGTGATACAAAGGTAAACAAAGATGAGTTTGTTTTCTTTTTGGTTTGCAATTTGGATGAGGGAAACTAAGGGTTAAATGTTCAAAAAAGTTGTAATTATTAACTGCCTTTGGAGTAATCTGTAAGTCAGACCTGGCCCCCGGCAAACATTTGACTATGGTCCCTGGTGTCTCTAATGCCATGTTTGTGACTATGGTGCTGCCAATCACCAGAGGGGGCTTCTTAGTGGGTGTGTCACTGGTCAGGAAAGATCGGTTAGAAATGTGGATGGGTGGCTTTCCATGACCAAGCTTTCTACATACCGATACCCAATTGCCTGGCTGTGTGGGGTGTCCCTGGTCTTGCTGGCAACAGCTGGGCCTACTTAAACGCCTGGATTAGTTAGACCGAAACTGGGAACACCCTTGCCTCCAAAGCTAAAAAATTCTACACTTATTACACTTATTCCCATTATCACTAAAGGAGGAATAGGAATAACTGAACATCTGAGACAGAGAGTTAATGGGGAGAGGAAGAAGAAGAGTTGGAAAAGAGTCAAGGGAAGGAGAGAGAGAAGCCATAGCGATGCTAAGCTAGTGTTAGCCTAGGCTAGCTACTCCTTACTACCAGAAATAAAACCGTATGCAGGAAGTGAACACGATATGTCTCAATAACAGCAGCATTAGTAGCACCTAGGCATGGCCTCCTGTATGAGGCAACTGCAGATACAGTAGATTCCACTTTAGGAAAAGTACAAATAAACTCTCTAATCCAAAGGCGAAACTGCCTAGTTGGTCCTCAAACAGGTTTGTCCTTAACAAAAAGGACCTTTAGTGAATTCATGCAAGCAGGACAGACTTGGACTTGGACAGAATCGATAAAACATACACAGTGCAGAAGACTGGAAACAGATTTCCTGAAATATTGACCTTCCCGGTTGTTAGAGCAGCTTTACCTCTACTTCCAAGCCTATTTATGCTGTAGGGATTTCCAGTACCTACTCTCCCGTGAAATATTACAGTTGTGTGGACACTGTTGTGTAGAAGGACCCTCCAGACTGCCAGTGTGACGGATCTGTTCTAGATCCCCTCCATACATCCCTCAGGAGTCATAGCAATATCTTTTAGTAGTAAGCCCAGGGGATTGATCAGGACTATGTCTTCCAACTTGCCTGGTTTTCCCAGAGGATCTGGAAGAGGCGTTTGGTTAGAGGGAAATCTGGGTGTCTCTGCTAAGACTGCTGGCCCAGCATTTGTTAAGACTGATGTAAATAAATCATGATATATAAACATATGTATGCTCAAACCAAGGTGTCTGCTTTGGATGTACACTTTTTTCATAGAACTCAGATCAAAGTGTAGCCATGTGGAAGAGATGCACGGTTTCCTGGATGGGCCTTGCTGTGCAGTGAAGCAACAAGAAAAGCAAAAAATGCAGAGTGGAAAGCATATAAAATATAATATTTACAGATCAACATCTACTGAATATGCATATAATGAAATGAGTGCTGCAGATGTCCTCTGAAATATAACTTATATTTTCTGATGTAGGATTCTCTTTTTCTGTTTATTCTGATTACGTATAACACAATATGAACCACATTTTTGTCCATTATTTTTTGCATGCTCAGTGAAGCTGTTAAAGTAAATGAAAATTTAAAACCACAAAAAACTTTTGTAAATGGAAATTAAAACAAATGTGAATAGCAATTTGAAAATATT